TGCTTTGGGGACCTTGGGGGTGTAGTCTCGGGGGAAATTGCTGGTTCATATGGAAGCTCAATTCCTAGGTTTTTGAATTCCTGTTCATATTGTCTTCCAAAAAAGCTGAGCCAGTTGCCATTCTCACCAGCAGTGAATGAGGGTCCCTTTTTTGTCACGTGCTCACAAGCACTGGTTGTTGTTCTTTTTAATGAGTGCCACTTTTTCTGTGGTGTGATGTGAGTTACCTTCGTGTTTTGAGTTGCATTTCCCTGATGATTAGTGACAGAGCATTTTTTTCCATATACTTTTTGGCCATTTGTATTTATGCTTTGAAGAAATTCTGTTCCTCTCTTCTCCCCAGTTTTTGATAGGATTGATAGGATTGGATTTTTTTTTTATAGACTTCTACAAGTTCTTTATATAAGCTTGGATATTAACCCTTTGTCAGATGGGCAAATAATTTCTCCCAGTACGTAGGCTATCTTTTTATTCTGGTCATTATTTCCTTTGCTTTGAGGTGCAGAAGCTTCTTAGTTAAATGTAGTCCCATTTGTTTATTTTTACTTGTTGGGTCTGTGGGATGTTATCCTTAATCATCCTTCAAGATGCCTCTTGCATGTAGAATTCTCCCTATATTTTCCTCTGTGTAACTTATGAATTCAGGTCTGCTATCTAGGTCTGTAATCCATTTTGATTTGACTTGTGCATGACATTAGAAAGAAGTCTGAGTTCCTTTTTTTGCATGTGTCCGACCAATTTACCTTGCTCCACTTCATATTTTTTGCTCCTTGATTGAAGATTTGCTGTCCTTATACTGAGAGCCTATCTCTGGGTTTTCTATTCTGTCCCACTGATCTGACATTCTGTCCTTATTTCACTGCCATGTTATTTTTATTACCATCACTTCATAGCACAGTTTGAAGTTGGGGAAAATGATGTCTCCTATCTTTTTTCCTGTGTATTGCTTTAGCTATTCAGGGATATCCAATGTTCCCCATAAATTCCAGGAGTGTTTGATGTATTTCTTTGAAAAGTATCACTGGATATCCTTATTGGGACTGTATTGGGTCTGTATTATGCTTTGGGAAGTATTGCCATTTTGATGTCGTTAGTTTTTCCAATCCATGAGCAGGTGGTGTGTTTCCATTTTCTTGCATATTCTTTTATTTCTAGATGTAGTGGGTTTTTTGTTGTTGTTTTTTGTTTGGTGTGGGGTTTTTTTTTTTTTTTTGCCTTTTGGGTCACACTCAGTGATGCACAGGGGTTACTCCTGGCTCATGCACTCAGGAATTACTCCTGTCAGTGCTCAGGGGACCATATGGGATGCTGGGAATTGAACCCGGGTAGGTCGCATGCACGGCAAGTGCACTACCCGCTGTACTATCACTCCAGCCCCTCTTGATGTAGTGTTTTGTAGTTTATTTTTAATTTAATTAAGCTATTTAAATTAAGCTAATTAAATTAATTATTTAATTAAGATGGTTCTTAGATTCCTACCTGCAATACTGTGTTTCTAGCCCTCATTTGTGTATTTTTTCTGTGCTGTTAGCCTCAATCTTTATTAGGCATAGAGACAGTATTTTTATGGAAAGTATCGTTAGCACCTCTGATATTTTTGGTCTTAATTACACATAGGTCATTTATATACCGTATATAAATTTTACTTAAAAATCAGGTTATTTATTCATTTTTAATATTCTTGTTTCATTGAAGGACCATGTTTTGCAAAGTGAGCCATCGTTGAGCTTTAGACATACAGTGTCCAACACCAATCCCACTGCCAGTGTCTGCTTCCCTTGCTGGTGTTCCCACGTCACTTCCCTCATCCCTAGTCTGCCACCTTGAAGGATACATTTTAAAACTTGGTTTTGAAGTTTTAATCTCATGCTTTAAGTGCTGTCCACTCTCTGACTCTGCTATTTAGCTATTCCATTTCTTTACAGCTCTGATAGATGCTTAAGTCCTGCCCACGTTGCTTCCTGTCTGTCTCTTTCCCCATCAGTATGTTTTCTTCTCTGTTATTCTCCCTCTACTGTGGATCCAAGGCTGATCTAGGCATCTCCCACTTAAAACATTGCATTTCCTCGTCCAGTTATTCTATGTACCACGTATAAGTGAGATCATTCTGTGTTTTCTTCCCTCTTTCCCTCCCTCCATACCCCCTTTCTTTCTATTTTTCTTTTCTCCCTTCCACACAACTGTGCTCAGGGCTGACTCCTGGCTCTGTGCACAGGGATCACTCCTAGCAGGGCTTGGGAGGACCATATGGGATGCCAGGTTGACTGCATGCAAGACAAGCATCTTAGCCACTGTACTATCATTTATCACGTGATCTTCCAGTTCTATCCATGTCGCAGCAAATTGCATGATTTCTTCATTCCTTACAGGTACATGGCATTCCTATATCTGGAAATGAAATTTCTGGGTCGTGTGGCAGCTCTATTCTTAGTTAAGTTTACTGAGAAATAGTCTGTGCTGTTTTACATAAGGGTTGAATCAGACATTATTCCCATCAAGTTATTCTTTTTAAAAGTTAAACTGGTGGGCTGAAGAGATAGTACAGTGGGTAGTGTTTGTCTTGCATGTGGTCAACTTGGATTCGACTCCTGATACTCATTGCATCCCGATGTTCCACCAGGAGTGATTCCTGAGCACAGAGCCAGGAGTAAGCACTGAGCACAGCCCCAAAAGCAAAGACCAAACCAAAAAATGTTAAGCTTGTGACCAACAAAAAATTATATACTTTAATTTTGAATTTTGTCACATGGAATGTCTACTTTATAACAGTATCAAGTATTTTATATATCAAATGTTCATTTTTATCATATATATCAAATGTTCATTATATATCAAATGTTCATCCAAGTCACGGCATTGCGAAGCAATGGCACGGCAGGGGCGTCTAGTTTGGGGCTGGAGCGATAGCACAGTGGTAGGGCATTTGCCTTGTATGCAGCCAACATGGCCGACCCGAGTTCGATTCCTCCGCCCCTCTCGGAGAGCCCGGCAAGCTCCCGAGAGTATCTCGCCCGCACGGCAGAGCCTGGCAAGCTCCCTGTGACGTATTCAATATGCCAAACACAGTAACAACAAGTCTCATGATGGAGACGTTACTGGGCCCGCTTGAGCAAATCGATGAACAACGGGAGGACAGTGACAGTGACAGTTCATTTTTTTATGTAGAAGTACTGCTATTTATTCAGCCACTGATTAGCGGATTGAATTGGACATGAACTCCACCTTACTTTTTTTTTGTTCATTTTTTATAATTTTATTTATTGAATCACCATGAAAGCAGTTACAAAGCTTTTGGGTTTAAGTCTCAATCATACAATGAAACACTCGTACTTTCACCAGTGCCCATTTTCCACCACCAAAAACCCCAGTATACCCCCATTCCACACCCTCCCCGTACCTGTGGAGCAGATGATTTCCACATTACTCTCTCTCTACTTTGATCACATTCAATATTTCGACACCAGACCCACCATTTTTATTTGGGATTTTACCCCAACACTCAGATCTGCTGGAAAGGCAACAGTAGACAACTTGTTTTCTAGTGCTGGTTATGAATAACATGTGATGTCGCATGGCTGCAGTAGTGGCTACTCAATTTTGAAATTCCGAAATTTTGACACTTAAATCTGGAGGGATTTCTGCCTCTGGAGGATGCTGGCCACCAGGCCGCCAGGAGGTACAGACCAAGGCACGAAACCTATTCCCACCTGGGGTCGCCCGGCGCAGTAACCTACTGCAGGGACCGGACACATTTCTGCCAAAAGCTGTTGGGTTTTGAGATTTATTTCTGAGTCTCTGGGAATATGCCCGTTAAGCAGTTCAATCAGGAACCAGAGAGGCCTGCCTTCAGTTATATCGCTGAGCTGGAGGTGGTTTGTTGGTGTGTCTCCCACATACCTAACTTTTGGCCGTTTACTTTCTTGGTAAACTTTGCCCCAAGTTTTTGGGGTCTGACCAAAGGCACAGCAGCAATTTGAGGGGTATCTGGAAGTCTGAAGGGCGCCATCAGACTTCTAATGCACTTGCCTCACAGGTACAGATTGACCTGCTGGCGGCACCGTTCCCCCTCAAATGTTCATATTTTTAACTGGTAAAATTAAATAATGAAATAGACTAAAGTATGATACTTCATCATTAATTTTTATTAATAAATTAATAAATAAGCTAGTAAAAAGTATCATTGTCACTGTCCTCCCGTTGTTCATTGATTTATTTGCTTGAGTGGGCCCAGTAACATCTCCATTGTGAAACTTGTTACTGTGTTTGGCATATCGAATACATCATGGGTAGCTTGGCAGGCTTTGCTGTGCGGGCGAGATACTCTCGGTAGTTTATCTTGGTAATTTATCTTAATCCTTGAAATGATTGCTTAATTTTAATTAAGCATATATATTTAAAAGTAGCATAGGTATATGTAATACCAAGGGAGCATAACAAAATGAATGCTGGGTCTTACCACCAGAGATTCTGATTGAGTAGATCTGAGTACAAACCAGAAATTTTCATTTTAAGTAATCCACATAATTCTGATGCAGGTAGTTCACCTGAGTATTCTAAATTGTTCTAGGTCTGTGGTCATTTTTAGCTCATACAGAGGTAATTGCATTTTCTTTATTTAATAGTTTTCTACGGACTCCAAGGTGTGTACATTCTCAGAAGTTGCACAGTGTAACCCACTAGTTTAAGGCCGGATAAAGAACTTTGCATTATTTTTTTATCTCGTTTCTCTAATATTAATTTTTGTGTTTCATAGTGCGCATGACTATCAATACAGTGCTGTGTTCAAATAAGTGCAAAGATAAGCATTTGAAATAACACATTTTAAATAGTAGATTTAAGTTTCGAAGTTTGATCTCTGGGATGCTGTGCTCTGTTCATGTTTTATGATGTCCAGTTATTTGTGCCATTTAAAATAAGGCAATAAACAGTTCCCTACCAAGTGCCAACTGACTATGACTGCATGTGCATGTTTCTCTTCCCTTGTTTGTTCTTGTTATCAGGTGATGCTTTTCCTTGGACCATCAACTTGCATCATTTCAGCATATATACGCTTTTTGGAAAACAAGTGACATTTTGCCTAGTGGAACCCATGGGTTGTACCTCTACGCTTGCTGTTACATCTCAGAAACTGCACGCTACAGGACCCGATACCAGACACTCATTTGTCGTCTGTCTGCATGTTGACCTGGAGTCAGTGGAGATGAAATGCTCAGACCCCCAGGTTGGTGCACTTGATTTATGAAAGGAAATTAAAAATAACGATTTAAGAACAATTGTTATTCATTTTGTTGAAGGGTTTCTCTTCGATTTAGTGTCTTAAATTATTTTTAATTGGGCTATCAAGATCAGAGTGGTTAGATTAAGAATTGCTTTGAAGTTCTCTCAAGTTTTGTAATTTAAACTCTTCTGAAAATGTAATGGTGGCAGCATAAATGCATCTTTTGGCTGATGGAATGAAATCAGTTGCAGATGTAAACTTTTAAAAAAGCTAGAGTAGTACTTTGCTGTATCAGACAGGAGGAGTTTGTTGAAGTGATCAAGTGTAGTTTTCAATTAGATTTTTATTCAGAATGCAGCTTGCTCAGTATATAATATTTTAAAAGTCTATTATTTTTTAGAAGGCATTTTAGTAATCTCATAACATTACAGTGGACCAAGCATGTTGTATTCTGCAGTTTTGCAATTATTTGCAAATGCAAATTATTTGACACAAAATCATGTTGCTTATTTCTTTATAAATAAGTAGATATATGATATTTTCACATGAATGTCAATGATGAATATTATTTGAACCCATATTTTCAGATATTACTGAATCTAACAGATAAATATTGATATTTATTGCACAGTAGTGATTAGTAGTCAATTTTAGTAAAGTGGTTTTAAATAGAATTTTATATTTTAAGTGCCTCTTTATTGTTATTTTTTCTCTTCGTTTTTCCCCATTTCTTATCCTACCACATACTATAAAATTTGATTTTCACTTGTATTTGTGCATTTTGAAAAGATTAGCCATGCTAACAAATTGGTCATAGCCTTACTATAAAAATGTATTTAAATGAAATATAAGGCACTTATAGTAAGTGAACACTGTAACTAAAAATTAAGGATATATTCCCTGTTACATGAGTAATTTTATAGTCAGTAGTAAATAGTTCTGAGCAGTATTAAGTATTACAGTTTTATGACCGTTTCGTATTCTTTATGGTTTATAATGATGTAGAAGAGAATAATTATAAAATAGCTTATCTTCTCATAGATTATGCTCTGAATAATCTGATTACGCTCTAAATAATATCCCACTAGTTATTATTTCTATTTACTCTATGAAAAAGCAAAAGCAGTTATTTACTACGTAAAGGTATGTTCTTTAAATTTGGTTTAAGATACTTGAACTGTGAAAAAAAAATCCACTTCAAAGTGGCTGTTACATTTTTTCATGAATGAAAAAGGTAAGAATTCTCTGCAGATAAATGCAAAGTCCAAAGTATTGGATGAAATTTCAGGAGTAAAAATGCATGCCTAAAAGAAACAGAAACAGGTAAAAAAGAAAACTTATCTAGAGGCAGCCTGACTATGACTGGGGGGAAAAAAAACCCTAAATGATTTTGATCATAGATCAGGAGGAGGTCCTGAGCTAGCACAGATGTACACTTGTTTCATTCAGCTGGTATTCAGAATATTAAAGAGTGCTTTCCACTCGATAATTAGAGGCTAAAGAACAATAACATTAAAACAATAAAAATATTTAAATAAGTCTTTCACCACACAAAATATATGATTGGTTAATAAATATATGAAAAGAGGCTTGAAACTGTTCTCAGAGAAAATCAAAATAGAACTGAGATATATACCTTAGTATCTGATAGTATAAAATAAAAAACTGAACCAATTAGCAATTTTCACACACAGCTAGTAGGTATGCAAAATATATATAAAAGCTTTGGAAAGAACTTGGAAATTTCAGAAAAAAGTTCTTGGAGAGAAGTTTCCTTAGGGCTTGTATAAGTCAAAGGGATGGAACACATGTCTGGCATATATGAGAGCCAAGTTTGACCCTGGGGATCACATCCACAAGTAATGCCCATCCTGGCACCACTGGCTACGGCTCTGGAGACGCCTGGTCCTCAAACTTGACTACTCTGACCTGAATACTAATTGGTCAGGACCCCACCACCAGGATAGCATTGCCAGGAGCGATCCCCTTTCCCTCATATCCCAACTCCACTGGGTGTGGCCAGAGGACAGTGCCATTATCGTATGGTTTACCTATTTCCTCCTGAGTATTGCTTTAGAAAAACAAAAATACATGTTCACATAGACTTATCTAAGAATATATATAGCAGTTCTATTTGTATGGCCAAAACGTGGATACAACCTATTAAGTGAATAATTAAATTATGGCCTATTGGCCCAACATAGTACCCTTGGTCCAGTGAATAATTAATAAAATGCAGCATTCTGGATGAATACCAAAATCATTAGGTTTTGTGAAGGAAACGAGATACAAAAGAACACTACTATATGACTAGATTCACATAGAAATGTTAGTATATGTAAACTGCATTGTAGTGAGAGAACATGTCCATTGTTGCTTTAGAGGCAGAGGGAAGGAGAGTATAATAAAAGGGATGGATTACAAAGGCTACAGAGAAACTTTTGGATAGAATGAAAGTGTGTGTGTGTGTGTGTGTGTGTGTGTGTGTGTGTCTGTGTGTTATTGAAGGCCCCTTAAAGCAGTATGTGAAAGACTGCATGCTCCTGGGATTTATCCACCGCAATCTTTTCACACTTGGGACTTTGGGAAGAGTAGGGTGGCCTCTTCTACATAGAATGTTCTAGCCCTTCTGACTAAAATATCCTCATTACCATGAATTTTTTTTATCTTGGATAAAACAGTTTGTATTTTTATTTAAAATAAAATTTCTTTGTCTTGGGAGACTCTATGGTACGGCGATGGCTACTGGATCTTATTAGATGTAATGCTCTGACTTACAACTAGAGCTCTGGGGAATCTTTAGCTCCATCTTACTTGAAACGAAATTCAGGTTCTGTTACTGTTTAAATACTGGCCAGTTCTAAATAGAGTCAGAAGCTTATGTTTGTTTCCTTCCTAGTATCGTTCCTCTCCTTTTTTCCTGTCCTTTTCTCTTTTTTTTTAAAAAAATTGAATCACCATGAGATAGACCATTACAAAGCTATTCATGATTTAATTTCAGTCATACAATATTCCAACATCCGTCCCTCTACCAGTGTACGTGTCCCACCACCAATGTTCCCACTTTTCTTTCCACCAGTCCCCTAGGACCACCAGATAAAATAAACTGCCCAAAATTACGAATGTGGGTGCCACCCCAGCTTTCTTCTTTGTCTCTCTTCCCTTTGTACATTATGGTTTGCAATACAGGTACTAAGGTCATCATGTTTGTTTGGGGTATTCAGCATTATTATTGAGAAGATGCAGATGGAGTAGCTTTTTTTTTTATTGTTATTTTTTAACTGGGTGGTGGCTTTGGGGTGTGAACACAATTGCCCAGGCTTTCAGAGGTATATGGGGAATGGGGGGGAGGTAGCTCATCTCAATCTCAAGAAAGCCTGGAGATTTCAGTCAAACCCTCATCCCGAATTTTATGGTTCTCTGAAAAGAGGCTGGTAGAAGAACTTGCATGGTGACTATGGAGTTAGTTCGTGGGGGTGACTGCTGGTGATTCCAAGAGTACAGGAAAGTATGGGGAGATAGTCCATCCCGACTCCAAGAAAGTCTGGAGATTTCAGTCACAAAACCTAACTACCCAAATTTTCAGCATGTTAGTTGATCCCAGTGAGGCCAGTCCTGAGTTGGTGGAGTCCAGCTGGGGGATGGTGGCAACTTTAGATTGTGGGAGCCAGCAGCTGCTGGGGCAGGCACCGGGGTGAGCCACTCCCCTCTCCTGTCTCTCCCCCTGCTCTGCTTAGCATTGCACAGCTCCGAGATTGACTGCGACTTTTGATCTCTTTTGAGATTTATTTATGGGTCTCTGAAGCAAGACCCATAAGTGAGCTTGTATTGCTTGGTTGCGGGTGGCGCCCACATTTGTAACATTGGGCGGTTTAATTTTTTAGGAAATTTGTTCCTGAGTTTTTGGAGTCGGGCCAGAGGACAGTGATGAAATCATGGAGAGTTTCTGTGGCACTGCGCCCTGGAGTCTAGAGCTCCCAGCATGCGACCATCTGGGTCCCTCCTGTCCTGCCTCTTCCCAGCTACCAGCGCATCCTGGCTTCTGCTTCCAGGAACTGAGGATGCTGATAATGGTGGTAGCGGTGGTTTTGGTTTGGTTTTGTTTTGAGAATCAATCCAAAACTGAATGGATTAAATGTTTGAGAATTTGTTTCAAGCAAAAAGGAAAAAAATACTCTTATTTTTTTTCTTCTTGATTAATCTCCATTAGCCACCCTCTTCTCATTGTTTTCAGCTACTAACACCCAAAATTGATTGTAACTTGCTTGGGAAGTTTAAGTATAGTATTTATGAGAAAACTTTTTAAAGGTCCAGAGAGCTAGTTGAGAGGTTAAGGCATTCGTCACGTACATGGCCAGCCCTGGTTCACCTCTGGCACCACATCTGTTCCCCTGATCATGGCTAGGGGTGATCCCTGGGCACAAGCAGATACGGCCGAAGAAAAGTAGAAAAGCAAAGCAACAACAACCAAAGCAGCTTTGTAATGGAATGCCTTCTTGTCAATTCAGATCATAGTTTCCTTTAAGTGAATCCCACCCCCTGGTTGGGCACACGGGAACTATCCAGTGTCGCCTGCAGTACAGTTGGGTATCACTCAGCTGAACTTTCATCAGAGGTTCATTTACTTCATGAAGGTAAAATTTCCAGAGGGGTGCTGAGTGATTCTTCTCTGGATAGGGACCTATATGCCAAATAAGTTTGAGAATCTCTGATTTTCATAGACCTCTGGCTGGAGCGATAGCACAGCAGTAGGGCGTTTGCCTTGCACGCAGCCAACATGGCCGACCCGAGTTCGATTCCTCCGCCCCTCTCGGAGAGCCCGGCAAGCTACCGAGAGGATCTCGCCCGCACGGCAGAGCTCGGCAAGCTCCCCGTGATGTATTCGGTATGCCAGACACAGTAACAACAAATTCTCCAATGGAGATGTTACTGGGCCCGCTCAAGCAAATCGATGAACAACGGGAGGGCCTTTACCTTTACCTTTTACCTGCTCTGAAACATTT